GTGATGGAAAGTTATGAAGTGGAAATAAACAATAAGACTTATCAAGGTAAAGATTATAAAATATATATATATATATATAAATGAATGTACATATATAATAATTTTATAACTTATATTAAAATTTTTTTTATATTTTAAAAATTATATAATAAATAAAGTCAAACCAATTCGAAATTTAAATGGACATTCCATTTTACCATACACAATTCATGCTGGAAAATCTGTTCCAATTGTAAAGAATAGTGAAGCTACCACTAAAATGGAGGTAAATATTAATGATAACAAATATAGTTATTTGTAATAATAATATATAATAATAATATAATTAAAATAATAATTATAAATCATTATAAAATAGGAAGGTGAATTTTTTGCTATTGAAACATTTGGAAGTACAGGTAAAGGTTACGTTCATGAAGATGGTGAATGTAGTCATTATGCAAAACGTCAAGATATTGGTCATATTCCTCTTCGGTATTGTATTATTATTTTTTCAAATAATTAAATTGTGATTAATTTATTATGATTTAACTTGATGATTTTAACTCGATTATTAACTCGTGATTAACTTGTGTTTAAATCAAACATATATAGAGTAACCAGAGCAAAATCATTATTAAATTCAATTAATAAAAATTTTGGAACTTTACCATTTTGTCGTCGATACCTTGATCGTATCGGTGAAACTAGATATGCATTGGCATTGAAGAATTTGGTTGATTCTGGTATCGTTGAATCTTATCCTCCTTTGGTTGATATAAAAGGTTCCTATACTGCTCAATATGAACATACTATTATTTTAAGACCTACTTGTAAAGAAGTTGTTAGTCGAGGTGATGATTATTAAAAAGACAATTAATTAATTATTATAGTCATTTAAATATTTTAGATTTATATATTTATGTACAGTATATAAATTAATTGTTTTCAATATTTAAATATAATTTTAATTTTTGGCATTTCATTTGTTGTGAATTTATTAATTATTTGAAATTACTTTTGTAACAACAGGGTACGTATTTATTTATTTATTTTTTTTTTTAAATAAAAAAATAATAAAAAAATTAATGATTATTTCCAAAAATAAAATAAAAAATAAAGAATTTTTTTTTCTTTATTCAAATAATAAGATAATAATAATAAAAATACTATCACTACTACAATAATTAACATACTTTTTATTTCTAATTGATAATTTAATAATTACAAAAATTACTAAATTTTTTAAATTTTTTAATCGAATAAACCTAATTTGAATTGATAATTAAAAAAAAATTGAAATTAAAATTAAAATTGAAATTGAAATTAAAAATTTAAGAGAATTAGGAGAATTAAGAGATAGAAAATACTCACCGAATCCCATATCGTCATCAGATTCTTCCTTTTCTTCTTCAGCAGGTTTTTCTTCTTCTTTTGCTTTTTCTTCTGCTGCACCACCACCACCACCACCACCACCCGATGCTCCACCGGCCATTGGTGCTCCTCCGCCTTTATTAATATTAATTAATATCAGAGATAATTAATAAATATAATAGAATGTACAGTATATATAATATCAAAGATAATTAATATAATATCAAAAAAATAATTGATATGATATGATATAATATCAATTGAATAAATACAAACCGGCACCAATATTCATCAATAAATCATTAACATTTCTGCCTTCAAGTGCTTTGGCAAATAAATTTGCCCATATTGGTTCAATTTCAATTCCGGCTGTTTTTGTTAATGCTAGTAATTTATCTGCCTATATAGAAAAAAAAAATAATAATCATTTATGTTATATCTAATATAAATAATTAAATAATTGCATTTTTATAAAATTCATCAACAAATAATTATTATTTTTTTCTATCCATCCATCTCATCCATCCTTATTCTATTAAGTATCTTTTATTCTATATATCTTTTTATTCTTATAGATATTTATAAATAATTTTAAAATCATATTTTGATATAATAATAACGACTTCTCCCCTCCTCTTTCTCCCTCCAACAAAAAATAAAATAATAAAATAAATATTAATGTTATTTTCTTACAGTAATTTCTACACCGTCATCAGCGAGAATAAGAGCAGCATATGTAACAGCTTGTTCGTTATTTGTTGCCATTTTATTTTATTTTTTTTTTGAATTAAAAAAACGATAATCTGTAATTAATAGTAGTTGCAAATCACATGTAGAATATATGTCTACCCGTATCACTAACAGATTTGATTGGACCATAATTTGGCGAGTGATCGGAAATATTTAAATCAATTGATTTCTCTTTCAAAACTTTCACACATACTTGCAAAATAGCTAAAGACGCCAATTTATCAGGGTTATGACTCTAGCTCGTCAAAAGTTAGCAGAATTAACAGAATTAACAGATCACAGTCAAGTGGTGTGTGATTTTTAACTTCATTTCAAATCCTTTGACTGACATTACA